TTTTTTTTCGTCGTGCATCGCTCCACTTTCACATTCCCTAAATCTACTCTTCCCATGCCTAAATGAGGTAGAAATGGGCGGGTGGAAATGTTTTAAAAGGGCAGTATACTTATGTTGTGGTTGTTCGTTGCTTTATACTATTTTATTTCTTACACATCGTATTAACAATTTTTTATTGACCTTGTAACATGAGCGAATTATATGCGAAGGTTTACAATTTCATAGTAACAGCCGAAGAAGAAAATATAAACGCCTCCACTGTTATCTACCAAGCGTTGAATGAAGAACCATGGATTCCAAAGGAAGAAATAAGGGGGTTGGTTCACCGAGCAATTTCATCGGCATTGAATCTATACGCTCAAGGTTCCACTCAACAACAAAAAATTTCACAAATACCTCTACAAGTAAGTTTTATAATGTGATCTATAAATTGTTTGACTCATTAACTGAATGATGAGTGTCGCAGATTTGGTTCGACCCGAATATCAAACATATCAGCTTTAGTCATTCCTATTTAGCCCGTGTACAGGATTTAATCCTGGGAACATGAGGAGGGTGGTTATACTGTACTACTATGTTCTGTTTATATGTGGTGGAGGTGAACCACACATAAGTTAGTGTCAGCGTGTGGGCCCCACGAGGGCATTAGCTTTGCCTGCGACATACTGACAGCGCGCGCGTTAGCTGGGATGGTATATAGGGTTAGATCGGGACTTTTTTTTTGACGCAATACTTCTAACTAAAACTTTATCGGTATCCATATACTCTGTGTATTAGTTTGAGGTGGCATATGAAGGGGTCTGTGGCTTACTCAACATTGGGGCACTAAAAGTAAGCAAAGAGAAACCTATCACTTTGGAGCAAATTGACGCTAATCTTAAAAAGTTGAAGTTGAAACTAACGGTAAGTATTGTTAAATATTTTAGCTGTCTTGGCTTTGATATAAATCTTACTAATATTTTATTTAGAGAGATTCGTCGACGCTTGCACGAGAGTTAACTCTAGGTCTAAGAAATGTGACGGCTTCCAGCCTCGAATGGAGTGATCCACTTGCCAACCAGATAATTGATGATAGTTCCGATCTAGTGAATCATCTTCCACCTCCTATGAAAAAAACATTCTTGAAACCCGCACGGCGAATGGTACCCCCCAATTTACCAATAATTCGAGAGATGTGTAGAGAATTTGTGACAGGCTTTGATCGACACCAGACAGAAGACATACCGAGATTATTAAAACATGATGTAAGTTGGAAAGAATCGGTGGAAGTTCTCAAAGAAGTTACAAAAGAAATTCTCAGTACAGTAAAAGATATCTGGAACAACCCTGCTTTTGGACCTAATTTTGTCGATTCATTGAACGAAGGTACCTACATATCAAATGTGGTGGTACCATTGATTCGTGCAACATTGAAAAACCTCCCTTTTGGGAAGTCCTCGTTTATTAGCACGTAGGTGTATGAGTTATCAATACATGCTTTAAAGACTACGCCTGCAAAACAATTTTTCTTTTATAGATACGAACGTCAAAGTATTGCTAGTAAGGATAGAAGGGGTGTAGGCAAAACAGGCAGGCGACCAGATATAATGTTTGAAGTTCATCGTGAGGGAAAAGTTTATGAACTTTTATATGGCGAATGTTCACGTATATTCTGCACCCCGCAAAAGGAACTAGATGATAAAATAAAATTATGGCGGGAGGTAAACGATGGATTATACTGGGTTCGTAAAGGGTGTAAACCAGAAAAAGAGCAGTTCGGAATTATTGGAATTCAGGTCGCAGGTTATAAACTTTATCTTTGTCCTTTAGTTCCGTACAAGTTGATATTTTTTAATGATACAAAACTTTCATAGGGCGTAAATTACACCTGAGTGTTATTACAAGAGGTGTTGACGAAATTCATCGTTTTTACAATTTACACTCGGCTGAAATCCCAGTGAACCCAATGGGAGATTATGATTTAATAAATTTTATAAAGACTCTGTTGACTCTACGGGTTTGTTATTCAATTAATTTGATTTCGCTTTATGGTTAAAAATCTAACACTATTCTGGTTTTATAGAATATGATTATCGTTAACATGTCTTTATTATTCCATGCATCCACCTCTATATCACATAGACAGGAAGATAGTTCGACAGTATCATCACCTCTATATGACAATTAGATTTTCATGACTCTTTGAGTCTGGGCTCTGCCCATTGTCCATACTATATTTATTCTACGTATTTTTCGATGTATTAATAAAGCTGGCCC